TTTCTGTTTTAAAAGGAATTTCCCCAGGACTTTATGCATCCACCTGCATCTTTTTTTTTTGTTTTGTTTTTTGAGATGGAGTTTCGCTCTTGTCACCCAGGCTGGAGTGCAATGCTGCGATCTCAGCTCACTGCAACCTCTGCCTCCCGGGTTCAAGCAATTCTTCCGCCTCAGCCTCCCGAGTAGCTGGGACTACAGGCATGTGCCACCACAACTGGCTAATTTTTGTATTTTCAGTAGAGACGGGGTTTTGCCCTGTTAGCCAAGCTGGTCTCAAACTCCTGACCTCAGGTGATCTGTCCCCCTTGGCCTCCCAAAGTGCTGGGATTACAGGCGTGAGCCACCGCGCCCAGCCTCTACCTGCATCGGAAATGGCCATGGCATGATATTCGCAGCCAGATTTCTGCTTTGTATCAAAGTACCTGAAGGTTTTTGAAATGTAGGATAAAACTATATTTCTATAATTTTGCACAGTTTGCATGAAGAGAGTTTAGGTTTTTTAAAATCATATATTGACAGCTAAAAATGTCTAATTCTATGATTACTCATTCCCAAGACGTGGTGCCATGCACTTCAACGTAGCTGCTTATACCATGTCCTAAAAAAACGCCTCTGTGGATGCAGGGAAAGGTTAGTTTTTAAGATGATAACAAATCATCACATTCTTTCTCCCAACTGTGTTCACAGTCTTCCTCTGGTTGAAGCTTCACACACTAAACATATGATCTTTGTTTCTATGTTGGTCTCAGAACTCACTGCCTTTTCTGCTGACTGCAGTGAAAACCGGTTGGCTAATTCTGCTTTTCACAGTCTGTCTGCGTTTCAACTTGCTTTCCTCATCAGGGATATTTCCCTGAGAAAGACAGGAGAGGATAATTGGCTAATCAGTATGGAGAACGGCATCCTGCAGGGAAGCTGGGGAGTTCAGAGGCCACACACCCTCACTCCCTCACCCCTCCACACTGTCCTCCTATGGAAACTCAAGCCTACGGAAATTGTCTTCCGCTTATTATCAGGATGCTTTAGCAACTTGGGGCCTAGCACCTCATCCTGTTTGAAAGAAAACACACCCTGGGAACTTTACCATGAAAAAAGAAATGTTTCTGTGAGAATGAATTTATACAGCATGAATTCTGTCTTGAATTCCCTTTAAAAAAAGGAGGTGGGGAGTGGAAACGCCCCGTCAGAAAATTGTCCCATGCACACAACCGATTTACGATGAGGACAGAGCCTGGTATTAGAACGGAACAGGCACGGATTACTGGCCATGCTGATTCCACGGCTGGCCAAAGAGTCACAGCACACTCCTCCAACAAAAGCAGCCCCTGCCTCCTTCCTGTTCGACTCCCCCGACCCCTACACCGACCCTGCCTCAGGGCAGCCTCCATGCCCTGCCCAGAGCAGCCGCGGCCATCAGATGGTTCGTCGAGAAGGCCCTAACGTCTGTGGCCATCAGATCACACATTGAAAAGGCCTTAACATAACCAAACAGATTTCCTCTCAAGCAGCCCCTCCTCCTCAGACACCAGCAGCCCAGGACGCCATGGCACACCTTTGGGTCACTGATCTAGAGAACGTGATACAGGAAGCCAGGAAGACTAGAAAAGGAAGACACCTGCATTTCACCCGATTTAACCTGCATGTACCTGATTTAACCTTGTGATCAAGTGGCAAGGCAGCCCTGAGATTCAGTAAAGAGTGGTGAAGAAAGAACCTCATATATTCTCCAAGGTATTCCAGAAACAGAGCATTTAAAGCAACATCTATGTGCTACAGGCAGCTGCACACACGGAAGCTTTCTTTAGTCTAGAAAGCACATTTCTAGGCTCTTCCTCATGGAATGTGATTCCTGTCTATGGGAAGATGCAATGTCTGCTATAAAGAATATATGTATGTGTGTGTATACATTGATTTAGAGATATTTTAGTGGACTGGATTATGAATATAAACCATACCTTGCTAGGTATTATGTATCTATTTACGATATATTTCTCAAATCACAGGAATCCAAAAAATATCATAACATAAAAAGATCTGATAATAGAAAAATCTATGACCATTGAACAATAACTTTCTTAACTTTAGCATAACAAGGGGATTTTTAATTAGTGTGAACTTAGTCTGTAATGATGTATTCTGAAAACAAAATTCTTCACGCAAAAGACCAGCCTATGTTAGGTCTACTGTATAATAAATATAACTTTGCTTAACTAAATATGAACTTAATCTGAAATGAGTTTCTCAGGTATTATCCCCTGTTGTTCAAATAAGCAGAAGGTGATCAGGAGAACATGAGTTCCATTAAAAGGAAAACCATGCAAAGTGTTTGATTATCTATCCACCACCTACAGAAAATAATATCATCTTAATTAGCCTCAGTTTCTAATTTGTATGATGAGAGAAAAAGAGCTTCTGCCCTATACGTCTTCTGCAATCAATGTGAAGACCAAACTCAGTAACGTGATTAAATATGCCTGTTGGAAACTGACATTATTGGTACTATTTTGATTCACGTAAACAATAATGCTGGAGGATCCTTGAAATTAAAATAAATACTTAACCTTAAATTATAAATAATAGTCCTTCTATAACCTGTGGGTTCTTATTGTAATAATCTGGGAGTTTGTATACGTTTGTTTTATCTAAAACAAAACCTCTTAGTAAAGTCCACATTTCAGTTTATTATAGAAGTGAAAATGCTCGACTGGATGAACAAATAATGGCATCCAGCCGGGATAAGTCGCCTGAGACTGTCTCTCTACTCGTGAGGCTGAGGCCAGCGTGAACTTGTCCCAGCAGCTCCATCACGATGCCCTGGTTTCTGCAGTCAGATGGGCACCTGTGCCACTCACACTAGGCTCCGTGCTCTGACCACGTGGCTTCCTTTTAACCTCAGGTCATTGTCTGTGCTGCTATGTGTTAGAAAAGGGGCACAATCAACTTCAGGGGAATCTGTTGCTGGCCCAGGGACACAGCAGTCACTGTGAGTGTCACCCAAGGAACACGAAAGGCCAGCCTCAGGATGCTGACTCAGAGCTCCAGCACTCAGACACAGAACGGGACCCCCCAGCTTTTAGGGAATGCATGGTTTCTGCCAAGCCTCTGGAAGGGACAAAAGGACATCTCTGGTAGGCACCGTATGGAATCTCCTGTACTTACGCTGCACATCTCACATTAAAAATGCTGCTGTCATGGCATTTGTTGATAGAGATTTACATTTGTTGATAGAGATTTTGGCACTACATTTAACAGTAAGGTAAAATATAATGTGCTCAACAGCGAGAATATTCAAACAGGAGATGGGCTGATGTACGCCTTTCAAAGCCTCCTTTCAATACATTAAACTAGGAGTTTGATCACGTAAAATGACTGCTCTGACAACAGAGTTATCCTGTTCCTTTGATATAGAAGCTGCTTGGAGATTTCTGACCCTGACAGGGTATAAGAGACCAGAAGATATTCCATCCAGCTGGAGAACCTGCAGGTGACGTTGGCTAAATGTGGTGTTGAAACTCCCAGGTGGGGCTCCCCCAGTGGAGACATCTTTCTCCGAGAGAAAGGCTTCGTGAGTGTGTCTCCAGGAATCAGGCCTCTCAGGTGATTAATTCTTGGGAGAAATGCATTTGTTTGCCTTAGAAATCAAACAAGCCTTCGGTGTCCCTCCAGAGAAGCTGTGGCAATGGAAACCTGGTGGAAGGTCCCCACAGGGCATGCAAATGCTGTTGGTCCTAAGTGGCTGCCTGGGACCTGGGATTCTCATGAGAGGCTCTCTGAAAGGGAGTGGAGTATCACGCTCTACTGCCAGGATGCTCAGTAAACTGGGTGCACCCGTCTCACACCGCCAGCAGGTAGGTTATCTTACAACATCTCACTGTGGCTGCACCCTTCCTGAGTAGTTCATTTGATTCCTTTAAAGGTCATGTCATAGGTGATAACAGAAGTTATTTCCTTGGGAGCCAACCGCTGAACATGAATTCTGAAACCAGACACCCCACAATTGACTATGAATTCTTTCATGGTCCTGCTACCTCTTCACAGCTGTTTGCTTTCAGCACCTCCTGTCTTCCGTGCTCTGGACTCAGCACCTGAGACGTGGTCACCACGCCAGGTCTGGCCACAGAGTTAGAAATCCTAGGTCCTGAGGCACAATCAGCCATTGTTCCTTTGTGGTGCTGTCACACATCCACTGGGTGCCCATTTACTCACATTATTCTGGCAAAAATGTCTTTAATTCTAGTTTGCTTTCTGGCTTTTAAAAACAATTATGTCCTAAGTGTTCAAGTCAGAATAAACAAACCCTATGCAGTCACATTCTTAAACTGTTTCAATAAGGCTTCTGACTACCTTTCAAAGTATATCACTTTGTACTTTTAAAGAAATATTTAAATTTGACCATAAACTAAAACTGAATTTTTAATTCTAGAAAATGGAGAGCAAAACCTGGTTAAGGTCCCTGGTGTAAACGATACCTATTTACAGATTTCCTATCTTAATTGTCACACCAAACACGAATGCCTCCTGCTTTCCAAACGGCATGAGAATGTGAAACGGCCACACTGTAACCATCTTTCTGGTAAGCTCTGGTCAAGTTACAGATCATTAATCAGCCTCCACGATTAATGAGGTCCCTCAAAACCACACTCACTTAATACAGTGTTCAGAAATAATTTGCCAGGTTGATCTACTTTCCAAATATTTTACTATACAAATCTATCATTTTAATTCTTACCATCTCATTAATGACACTGGTGCCTCGTGTCCCCGGTAGATTTAATAGCAATGACGGTAAGTCTGTTGATATGTGTTCTGATAGGCTTCTCCACCCAGCATTCTACCATAGACAGACAAAAAATCTTGGGAGACTAATTTTAATTTACGTAATGCATGTGTGTGTGCATATGCATCTATGTGTATATATACATATCTAATATGTGTGTGTGCATATGCATCTATGTGTATATATACATATCTAATATGTATGTGTGCATATGCATCTATGTGTATATATATCTATGTGTGTGTACATATGCATCTATGTGTACATACACATATCTATCTTCTATATGTCTATCTGTGCCTGTGTATTTATGTACATGTAAGTGATGGATTCTTTGCATTAGAATCTTAAGCCACTGTCACAATCTAGGATTATTTCCTAAAATTCAGGTTTCCTAGTACAAACTCCTCTGACTTCTGAAGGAAGAGTGGTAATTTAAGCCTGCCCATGAGATTAGCAACAAGCAACTCACATCTCCCTGATGTATGGAGGGACCTGATGTATGGAGGGGACCTGATGTACGGAGGGACCTGATGTATGGAGGGGACCTGATGTACGGAGGGACCTGATGTACGACCTGATGTATGGAGGGGACCTGATAGGGAACCGGAGATTCGGAGGGACCTGATGTACGGAGGGACCTGATGTATGGAGGGGACCTGATGTACGGAGGGACCTGATGTATGGATGTATGGAGGGGACCTGATGTACGGAGGGACCTGATGTACGGAGCGACCTGATGTATGGAGGGGACCTGATGTACGGAGGGGACCTGATGTACGGAGCGACCTGATGTACGGAGGGGACCTGATGTATGGAGGGGACCTGATGTATGGAGGGGACCTGATGTATGGAGGGACCTGATGTACGGAGCGACCTGGTGTATGGAGCGACCTGATGTATGGAGGGACCTGATGTATGGAGGGACCAGATGTATGGAGGGACCTGATGTATGGAGGGGACCTGATGTACGGAGGGACCTGATGTACGGAGCGACCTGATGTATGGAGCGACCTGATGTATGGAGGGACCTGATGTATGGAGGGACCAGATGTATGGAGGGACCTGATGTATGGAGGGGACCTGATGTACGGAGGGACCTGATGTACGGAGGGACCTGATGTAGGGAGGGACCTGATGTAGGGAGGGACCTGATGTACGGAGGGACCTGATGTATGGAGGGACCTGATGTATGGAGGGGACCTGATGTACGGAGGGACCTGATGTATGGAGGGACCTGATGTATGGAGGGGACCTGATGTATGGACCCACTGGCTCAAACAACCTTTGTGTCCAGAAATTAGTTCTCCTGGAAATCAGACTCTTGAAGAACTTTTGAGCCCAAGGGAGAAGGGCAAGAAAGAAAATTCCCTTCACTTTCAACATGTTTGGGCATTTCTATGAGGAAAACCCTAAGCCAATAAAGATGACAGCTAGGCTTTGCAAAAAAACAAACAAGCAAATAAACAAACAAACCACAAAACTCCCACCTCTTTCCTCAGAAGCAATGACTTCTATGAAAGCGTTAGTTTTGAAGTTGTATTGTGCGTCAGATAGTGACAGAACACTGGATATGAAAACCACGTCACCATAAATGCACTGCCGGGAACATCCCCAACACCTAGCACGGCAGCCTTCTCCCCCACGTCTCAGGGCACCGGAAACCCCAGACCAGAAACACAGCTCTCACACGTGGAAGCAGATGACGGGCTGATTGATTATCGTATAGCAATAGTACTTCCTTTCATCCCAACTACGTGACCATCACTAAAGCAAAGCTTTGGCAATCTACAGACAAAACTCACTTTGGTGGTTGATGTACCAGTCATTAGGCAGGAGTTCCAACTCCCCTAAGGAGGTACCTGGGCTAAGCCGTTCCAACAACACTGTTTTGCCCAATCATTGTATCTCATGGATAGAGCATTCAAGAAAATGTAAAATTAAAGACCAGGTCTGCTAACTTAACGTCCTTGATACATTTTGTTAAGATAATCAGAAAGGTACACCATAAATATCTCAGCAAATTACTGACAACCAACCTGAATAAAAATTAGACTGACATAAAATCTGAAGTGTCACAGAGAATCTGAAGAATTCTTCAATAGAAGTGTTCAGTTCACCTAAGAGGTTAATTTTCTCAGTATTGACCGAGCAGAATGATTTCTTTATATGCCAATCATTCATAGTAACAGCCGGCAATTCACCTTGAACGATGGACCCAAATCACGACTTATTTTGCTAATATTTTAAAGATTACCGTTTTCTTCTTCCTCCTCTTCCTCCTCCTCCTCCTCCTCTTCCTCTTCTTCATCCTCCACATCTTCTCCATCCTCGTCATCGTCCTCATCCTCCTCCTCGATCTCCTCCTCCTCCTCCCGGTCCCCCTCCTCATCCTCCTCGTCCTCATCCCCTGGCTCCTCATTGTCCTCGGAGTACTCCTCCCCCTCATCCTCCTCCTTCTCGTCCATGTCCTCAGTCCCATCACTGTCATCACACTCGTCCACTGAGGAGCTGTCTGCTTTCACGGCAAATGGCTTTCGTTTAGGAGCAGGTTCCTGGGGCTGTTTATCTTGTGTTTTTCTTTTTTTCGCCAAGGGACAACCATATACACTAAAAAAAAAAAAAAAAAAAAAGAGAAGGCAGGGGAGAGAGAGAGAAAAAAAAAGATCTGTGTTACTGTCTTTTAAAATCAGACCAATGGGAGCCTTGATCAAGGTACTTAAAGGCTTATCATGAATGTCATCCACACAAACACCAGAGAGACATAAACACACACGTCCCCCGAAGTGTGCTGGAATCTGTTAATGAAGTGATGGTGTGAATAAATACAGCTCATATTTGTCTCGTTACCATTCACATTTAGTCCGAGTCTCCTAGTTCCTCATTCCCACAATACCAGAGATCCTACGAAAATTCATGAGGTTGGTTTGCATAACGTACATAACATGCAATTGACAATACAAATTTAATTTATGAAACATTTTACCAAATATATACTATGTATAATACACATCTGAAGCAAGATTTATTTTAATCCCATTATATTTACATACATATTTATATAAAATATAAAAATGTCTATGTCGTGAAAGAGCTTTGGATATATTTGGATTTGTATATTTTATGGATTAAATTATATCTTTAGACTTGATAACCTCCTGAAACAAGATGAGCCATAGGGCTTGTCAATGTTATTATGAAAGCAACTGCATCATTCAAAGTTGTGCAGAACTTCCTCAGTCTTAGATGTTATTAGTCCCACGCCAGCCTTCCAGAAAACAACTTCAGTGTTAGCGGTAATCACCACTAAATCATGCTGAAATCAGGCTTGGACAAGACCCTTCCTTACAGCAGAAGCTCACAGTCTTTCCTTGAGAAAGAATGATTTTCTTTTTTTATTATTATTATTATACTTTAAGTTCGAGGGTACATGTGCACAACATGCAGGTTTGTTACATATGTATACATGTGCTATGTTGGTGTGCTGCACCCATTAACTCATCATTTACAGTAGGTATATCTCCTAATGCTATCCCTGCCCCCTTCCCCCACCCCACGACAGGCCCTGGTGTGTGATGTTCCCCACCCTGTGTCCAAGTGTTCTCACTGAGAAAGAACGATTTTCAAAGCCACATTACAAATTCACTTTTGCTCTAGAAATAATATATATACTACAAAAAAAAATAGGTGTGATAGGGAAGGCATAGAGGCAAACTACCACAGGCAAACACTCCATTTATGCAGAACAACATGTGTGGCCTCTCTCACTGGCCTGTGGCTCTGCAGGGTGAGATGTGTGGCCTCTCTCACTGGTCCACCGTTCTGCAGGGTGAGATGTGTGGCCTCTCTCACTGGCCTGTGGTTCTGCAGGGTGAGATGTGTGGCCTCTCTCACTGGCCCACGGTTCTGCAGGGCCAGATGTGTGGCCTCTCTCACTGGCCCGTGGTTCTGCAGGGTGAGATGTGTGGCCTCTCTCACTGGCCCACGGTTCTGCAGGGTGAGACGTGTGGCCTCTCTCACTGGCCCACAGTTCTGCAGGGTGGGATGTGTGGCCTCTCTCACTGGCCCGTGGTTCTGCAGGGTGAGACGTGTGGCCTCTCTCACTGGCCCACAGTTCTGCAGGGTGAGATGTGTGGCCTCTCTCACTGGCCCGTGGTTCTGTAGGGTGAGATGTGTGGCCTCTCTCACTGGCCCGTGGTTCTGCAGGGTGAGATGTGTGGCCTCTCTCACTGGCCCACAGTTCTGCAGGGTGAGATGTGTGGCCTCTCTCACTGGCCCACAGTTCTGCAGGGCGAGATGTGTGGCCTCTCTCACTGGCCCGTGGTTCTGCAGGGTGAGATGTGTGGCCTCTCTCGCTGGTCCGTGGTTCTGCAGGGTGAGATGTGTGGCCTCTCTCGCTGGTCCGTGGTTCTGCAGGGCCAGATGTGCGGCCTCTCTCACTGGCCCACAGTTCTGCAGGGTGAGATGTGTGGCCTCTCTCACTGGCCTGTGGTTCTGCAGGGTGAGATGTGTGGCCTCTCGCTGGTCCGTAGTTCTGCAGGGTGAGACGTGTGGCCTCTCTCACTGGCCCATGGTTCTGCAGGGTGGGATGTGTGGCCTCTCTCACTGGCCCGTGGTTCTGCAGGGTGGGATGTGTGGCCTCTCTCACTGGCCCGTGGTTCTGCAGGGTGAGATGTGTGGCCTCTCTCGCTGGCCCACGGTTCTGCAGGGTGAGATGTGTGGCCTCTCTCGCTGGTCCACGGTTCTGCAGGGTGAGATGTGTGGCCTCTCTCACTGGTCCACTGTTCTGCAAGGTGAGATGTGTGGCCTCTCTCACTGGCCCGTGGTTCTGCAGGGGGGTCCTGCACACCCTGACTAGCTTGGCTTTGAATCTGGGATCGTGAATCATCATTCAGTCATGACCCCAACCAGTGTTTACTATTTGGGCGACTCCTCTATGTTGGGTCCTGGGCTATGCTGGAGTTTAGAGATGAGTGGCACAGATCCTCACACGAAGGCTTTATGCTCTAACAAGGGACTTAGACAAGTCAGAAATACCATTTTAGAACCACTCCCTTCTGGGTACACTGTGCGCCAAACACCCGGCATGTCAGAGACACTCCACAGGCATTTGCGGAATGAGTGGATGAACCGTGAGAAATCCCATGATGAAAATGTGCAGAAGGTTCTACGTCCTGTACACAGAGGGCAGGCATGCACGGGTGCTGGCAGGGCTGTCAGGAAGAGGTGAGGCTGCTGATGAGCTTTCACAGACACATAAAGGATGTCTGGGAGGGAAAGAAAGCATTTCAATACATCCCAATTAAAACAATCTGCAAAAGACATGAACATACGTAAGAACACCACAGGCTCACAAAACTGAAACACACACAAACCCCGAAGGCTGGGGCACAGAGTGTGTGGAGCGGGGCTGGGCCGGGGGTAGAGGTTAGAGTGGAGAGTCAGGTGGGGTCAGATCAACCTCATGGATGAATGATGGGACTCTGGATTCTGACCCACGAAACAGGGAGTGATTCGAGTTCTTTTAAGCATTCAATAATGCAATGAAAATGCATGTTGGATAGGTAATGGCAGGGTGCAAAGCGGAGGACAGAGGAGAGGAGGTGCAGGCTAGAGACGCGGGGAGCAGAAGACAGCCAGTGCCGTGTTCAGACGGGGACTGAGATGAGAAGGTGAGCTGAGGAGGGTGCCTAGATCATCAGACAGACGAGAGAGGCCAGGAGGACCAAGGGCCACGAGGGAGCTTCTTGGTGCAGTCAGACCCTGGGTAAGAAGGTGCTGGGAGAGAGTGTGGGAGTAGGACACGGTGTGTACGGACCAGAAGGAGCTTGCGTTGCCCACGGCAGGTCTTGTTGACTGACTGACTTTGGACAGATGTTCAACCTTACACACGAATATCTTCTGCTGTAAAGTCACACAAATGCTAATCTCACATGGCTGCATTAAGGATGAAATGCAGAAAAAAAAAAATATATATATATATATATGTAAAGAAGTTAGTAGTGTACCTGGCACCTACTAGGTACTCAATGAATGATAGGAACTGCTGTGTAATAGTGGTAATAATAAGAAACTTTTGCTATTTTTAAATTTTTATTCAGGTATCCAATTATCCAACAAATATGTCACCCCTGAAAGTTTTGGAAACTAATGATTGTCCTGTTTGTTTCTTCTATCAATACTTCTAAAACAGTTTAGACCAATTACACTAGTGAAAGTGAACATAAACAGTTTTGTGTTTCTTAGGAAACCAGTTTTTCTTGATGCGTAGTGGTTCGTGGCCTGTTAGGAACTGGGCCACACAGCAGGAGGGGGCGGCAGGCAAGCGAGCAAAGCTTCTTCTGTATTTACAGCCACTCCCTATTGCTCACAAGACCACCTGAGCTCTGCCTCCTGTCAGATCAGTGGCCACATCAGATTCTCACAGGAGCTTGAACCCTGTTGAGAATGGTGCATGGGAGGGATCTAGGTTGCGGCTCCTTATGAGAATCTAATGCCTGATGATCTGTCACTGTCTCCCGTCACCCCAGATGGGACATCTAGCTGCAGAAAAACAAGCTCCCACTGGTTCTACATGATGGTGAGTTGTAAAATTATTTCATCATATATTACAATGTAGTAATAAAAATAAAGTGCACAAAAAGTAATGCACTTGAATTACATCCTCTCCACCCCCAAACCATGGAAAAGCTGTCTTCCATGAAACCGGTCCCTGGGGCCAGAAAGGATGGGGACCGCTGCCCTGGAAGACACAAGCATGGGGTACGGGCAAGAGCGGAGGGACTTCATTTCCACTTTGCTGCGTCACTCAGGGAGTCCCTTCATCAATTTGGATGTCACTTTTTAAATTTGTAAGATGAGGCCAGTTAGATGACTTCTAAGTCTCTGTCAGCCCTGAAACACTAGGGTGAAATGTTATCATCCCTTAAAAACATAACAAGCAAAACGAGAATAACAATTTTAATAACCAGATAATTCAAGAAAAAAATTCATCGATAGTCTACATACCATTTCAAACATGAAATACACAGATTTCTGAGATTCCTTGTATGCAAACATTTTCATTTGTGAAGGGATAATCTGAGATAATCATCTCAGAGCCAGCCACACCTTCATGCTGAATTACCACCGGACAACCTGTGAAGTCCAAGCCCAAGGCCAACCAACCTCCTCAGAGGGCCGCCTGTATCTGAGTGGACTGGTTCCGGTGGACACCTTCTGTGTTTGTCCAGATAGCAGATAGCAGATGCAGCTGTGCACGGATGGTTCCTCCAGAGCCTGCCCTCAGCGTCTCAGGTCACAACGACTGGGGCTCTTGCCAGCTTCCTTCTCCTTTGTCAGTGAGTCAATGTGTTTGTTTGACACCGTCTGTTCCGCATTGAGGCCACCTGCACAGCACCGTTCACTAAACAGATAACTAGGCCTACCGGTGACCATCTGTGAGTCCCGAGTGCTGGGAAATGACGTCACCCCACCTGGCTTGGAGGTGAGGTGACTGGAAGCTTCCTCCGAGGGTGTAAGCTGGGGCTCCTGTTTCATTTTCTCCTTGCTCATTCACATGCACAGCCACCCTCCTTTTCAAGACGGCTCACTTGTGCTCAGACTGTGCG